AGGAGTTCTCGGCGATCCAAATTCCAAGTTCTTTTCCGTTGCAAATTTCCCCACAGCCGTTCCAGAGCTTTGTGCAGTCTGCTCATGGTTCTCTGTGCCACCTCCAGGCTCTTGCACAAGTGCAGCGTGCCAAAGGCCAGGAGGCTTCTTACTGCGTCGTCGCGCCTGCCGCGAGGCTGGCAGCCAAGGCGGATGCGCTCTCGTGCTTTCAATGAAATACCGATGTCAAGCTTTCCCACCCCCGAATGCCTTTCATGCTTCCGCTGGGGAAACCTTCGGGGGAAATGATGGGTATATGGGTTGGGCACCGTAGGGACACTCCTGTAGCCGTCAACATTTTGTTGCGAGGTGCGAAAATCCACCCGGCGCCTTCTGTGCACGTGCTGTTCAAGTTTAGGAACGCCCTAAGTTTAGGAACGCTCTAAGGCAGACATCGCGGCAAGGCTTGGGCAGCTTTGCGACCGGCGCTCGACTCATCACAGAACCTTGGGTCAGCACATGCAGCTTCCAAGCAGCTAAAGAGTGTAGCTGCAGTAGCTGCTACTAGTGCACATCCACAAATGAAAACCAAACCTCCTTTTTCAGGCAACTGCAAATGGGGCTAGTGAACTAGCACGCGGTCCATCAGAGACTTTGCAAGCTTTGAAGTGCCCCTGCTCTCGTCCATGACAGCCAGGTTTCATGTGCGCGGCTTGTGCAGCATACTGCAAGTTCACAATCATCACTGTTGTCAGAAGGTTTGGTGCAAGCTCTCGTCATCTGAAGATCAGCGTGAGACAGATGACAGAGAGGCTCATAGAGCTTCAGTGCGTGGCGCCCCTGGTGCCCAGTAGTGGTAGCATCAAAGCCAGAAGCACAGTGCACTGAACCAACAAACGTCTGGAATCAGCTCAGCCATGGCAGGGCTTGGTGGATCACTTCTTCTTGAGGTTGCGCAGCATGCTGACTGGATCAATCTGTGCCATAACCTGCAGCTGTGGGCGCGGTTGCCAGTAGCTCCTGCGCAGGTGTAGGCATGAATGTCTTTGAAGGTTATGGAAGATGCTTAGGCGGCTATTCGCACCAGTGTGTTGTGTTATGCCGTTATGCCGTGAAGGCTTCCCACTGATGCCTGCCCCCAAACCCCGAAAGAATGCGATTCACGTCTCAATTCTCAATGCCTTGAACACAAGGCGACTCAATGCTGAGTCATGCCATTACATTCACGGGCCCTATGTAATAATTCCATGTCAAACATGTCAACTTGCCAGATTATTAAGGGTTACTGTGAGTAGTTGTTTATGTACAGGGCAGCTTTCAGTTGGTTCTTGCACGTTGGCAGCCCTGTAGCACAATCAGTTTGGAAACACACGTGAAAGGTTGACACGAAGTCATCTGGAATAATGCGCAGAGTTGTTCACAGGACATCACAGGACTGCATAAGACGTCATAAGACAGTAGAGTATGATAACAGTCTCTCCCCAGGGTTGTGGGTGAAGCTCGCAAAACGTTCTCAAAAAGACTCAGTTGTGTGCTGTGAATGCGGCGTGTGAGGGGTGGCCATGCCAGAGCATAGTTCGACACTGCGTTATAGATCCTCAACTTCCACTTTAAACTCAGCTCCATGTTCCGCTGCCAGCGTGCTGGCTAGCTAAAGACTTGATGCCGATTTGCTATTGACTGAAGAATGCTCAACAACTACCCAGGTGCTCAAGTCGTGCGTGCTTGAGTTGATTGCACGCGTGCTTGCATGAGCTCTACCAGAACCGCATGTGCTGGCGAATCATCTGTGATAATTGCCTTGCTTCAGTGGTACTTTTGTTGGCGAAGGCGGAAGTCCACAGAATTTCCACAGCCCTGCAGAGGCTCCACCCCCTCCTCAGGACCCCATTTCTCTTCATATCGGGCCCTGTCCATGGTCCCAGCTGGATCCTGGAAATCTGCGGCTTGGGTTAGCCGTTTTGCATTTCCACCGGGCCGGGCAGAAGCTAACGGCCCACAGCGATTACAACTATCTGCAAGGGAAACATTGCATACTCGCCCTGGCATGTTGAAGAGCAGACACATCTTGATCAAGCTGCATGCAGGCCTTCAAGGCCTGTCCAAAACGACCTTGTCGGCTGCGGACATGTTGGACGGCCCTTCGCTGAAATTTCTGAACGCTGTTTGACTTGGCTGCTATCACACGGCCTCTCCCTGGCCATGTCTCCAAAGAATTTACGTTTCGAGATGTCAGTCACCTCACACAGCTCAGGAACAACATGCGCAAACTGGCTGGAGTTCGAATTGCCTATTGACATATTGACGTGCTGTGACTTGCTGCCAGATGACAAGCGGTAGCAGCAGCCGGGCAAAGCCTTCAGCCTCAGCCTCTGTGGCCACTATCGTGTGGGCTACGTGCACGTGCCAGCGGCTGCCTTCGAAGCTTCAGGGCGTCCGCGCAGAGCGCCAGAATCTTTGGACTGCATCCCAACGAAACAGGGCCCCGCCTTTGCAGCTTTCATGGCCGGGCCGTAAAGGTTCCAGCTTGAGTTCTGCCTCTTCCATTGTGATGCCACGCAGCATCTCACGAGTCCTTGAAAGCTCCCGCAGCAAGTTTCAGGAACTGTTCCTAAAGCGATGTCCTGGAGTCGTGTACGAGAGTGACCCGCGTTACCTGCAACTCCTGCCGCGATGCAACAAACAAACGCTAGAAAGTGAGAGCAGCCGAGAGTTCACATCATAGCGAAGCCAGCATGAGCCTTTGACATCTATTGATACTGCGCCTTGTCTCGCATTAGCCAAAAGCAGCGCTCAACTGCAATGCAAGGTACATGGCTTTACAGGCATGAGGCCTCACAGGTGAAACCAGATGCGCACACTTTGTGCTCAGTCGAAGCCTTGTTATGCTTCCTGCAGGCTATGTCGTTTGAATTGATACGAAAGCAGCTCAGATTTCTTTGGAGATGGCAGAACTCATTGGGCACAGGGCACCTATTTTTGGAGCCACACCTGCCCGTTGTTCCAAACAATGCTTCTCTGTGTCTCCAAGCACACCTGCCCGATTAGAACGTGGCCATCCATTTCCAAAGCAACATGTCCTTCTGAAGTAGATGGCATTCGGCTGGTCACGATTTGCGGGTCTGACACCATCCAAGGCCTGTTCCAGACTATGAAAGAGCCCGACACCGATCCGACAAGCTCCCCATCAGCTTCATCATACCAGCTTCCCTGTAGGTGCTGAAGCATTTCGAACCTATCTTCCTCGCTCTCTTCGTTGATGAGAAGGTCCGGATCCCTGAGGACTCTCATGGAGGCACAAGTCTTTCCGGGAATGAGATCCGCTGGACGCTTTTTGTTGGAAACGACCTGGCAGTTACCGCATTGGTCGTGCACGTCACGGCAGCCGTCACACTGAAGGCACTGCACGGAAATGTTTCCCATAGCGTCGCGGGACCACTTCAAAGAAGTATCTCTGAGCTTGCCACTGTTTGCTCCTGGATTATAAGGACTTCAAGCGCTCTTGCTGCTACCCATGACTGTGTGGAAGTGTCTGGCGTAATGTGTGGAGCCCAAACAGCTTACATTTCTGCCTTGATTGTTCAGATTCAGACGCAACTGCGCAAGAGAAGCAAGCTGCGAGTCTGCTTCCCGCCTTAACGAAGTTTGCCTCCTTCAGGCCGCAGGCTGCCGTGCTCACTACAGGGATGCCACGCAGCTGTGCCTCCAAATTGCTCGCTCCTACTGAATTCTCCCTCTCAAGAAACGGTGTATCCGGTACCCTCGCTCTTGACCAAAGCATGGTACAATGGCTATCCCACAGCCCGTGCCGAATCGTGCTCTTGGTGTCTCCAGTCAAACCTCCTTCTAAAGGGCGGGGCCCTGTCCGAACATATCAAAGTTTCCCCAGATCATAGGCCTCCACTGCGACAAGACCAAAAGACTCTTGCCAGAGCGAAGGCATCAACAGCACAGCTGTCCTGGAGTGGCACTGCACAGTCATGGCACGTTGGGCCTTTGCGCGACTCTACTAAGGCCAAGCTTCTGCTCATAGATTTCATCGATATTGTCAGTCCCGGCTGTTACGCGTATGTTGGGATGCGCCCGCCTGAGCATTGCACAAACCGCCTCCAAGGAACTGCCAGCTTGCATTGCGAGAAAGCGTGTGTGAGTGGCGCTGAATGGCAGCAAATATGGCTCCACGGAAGCTGGAGGCACTAGAGACCAGCAACAGGACTGGAACGGTCTGGAACGGTCTGGAACAAATTGCGGGCAAGAGGCAGCTGAACCTCGTGCAATGTCTTTGTCCACCCTGTGCTCACGCAGAGGAAGTGGACGTTTGGAAGCCTGGTCTTGCAGGAATCAGGTCGCAATCTCTACATGCAACTGCGAGCCAAGAGTCATCAAGGCCAGGCGCAGCACGATCGCGAGGCCCTTCGCTGGGCAGGGACTTATGAACGTCACCTCGCACAACAGGCGTAATACGGGGCGTCTGCACGAAGTGATGGCAGTCAAGAACTAAACAGAAGCGTCCATCAACTGTACGATTTCACGTTTCATGGTTAACTTATCACTCATCATTGTGACGAGAATAATGTTCTTGGCATTGGCGGCGCTAGCAATACAAAAGAAAGATGAGGCAGGACAATCACTGGCCACGGTTGCAGCAGCAGCCATAATAGTGGGAAGTTATGGAAGGATACGCCCTACTACCATACTCAAAACCATGGTAAACAAACCTTTCAGATTCTCTAATCTTGTAGAGACCAAGTGGTGACCAATAACAAGTCGAGCAATCGTGACAATCACAGGAGTTCTGACAAGATATCTTGCGAGAACCGCTTGAGTGGCATTGGTTTTGTCTTGCTGGCCGCGTCAGGCTTCTTCCAACTTCCAAAATGGCATGCACAACTGACTGCGCTTTTCGCAGCCTGCAAATCTGAATGCTTGCCCGCATCCGGTTCGTAGCATTTACGATGTACAATCGCAGGGAAATCAAAGTGATGAAGGGGAGTGTGCAATTTTGGTGCATTCAGCCAGTCTCAGGAAGCTATTGCCACTTTTAGCGGCTGCGGGTCCCGGAGCACTCGCTCGTCCAAGCTTCGTTGAAGTTCCGAGAAGGTATGTTGCAGTGTCTCAATTCTCTTCCGAACCTGCTGCGTGTGCTGCCGCATCTGTATCGCCGCATCCTGCTTTTCTTTGATAGAAGTTAACAAATGGCGGAGAGCTTGCTCTAGCTCAGCAACTTTGGCTTTGGCTTCCTGCTGCGCATCCTCACCCGTGGAAACTACTTTGGCTGTAGCCAGTGTGGTCTGCTCCACCAGCTTCTCTTGTTCCTGCTCCATAGCATGGATTTGTCTCTGGCGCACCTCTTCAGTGCGACGCAACTCATGTAGTTCAGCCTCAGCTGTCCTGCAACATTCGCGGTGCATACTAGTTTCCTGTTCTGACACAATTGCCTGAGGACTCTGAGTCCTCAGCATTTCGGCACGTGCTTCCAATTTCTTCATGTCTGAAACCAAATCATCTAATCGATCCTTGGTGTTGGAACGCTGGCGCTTCAGCTCGACAATCTCGCTCTCGCTGCAAACGCAATCATCCTGGTGACCTTGCCGCATTTGCTCTAGCTCTTCTGTTAAGAAATGCACTTGCTGGGTCATCTCCTCATGCTGCTGCCATCCCTGATAGTTGCTGCTCTGTGAGATCATGGCCAGTTCATTCCGCAGTCTCTCCAGCTCAGCTTGCTGGCCTCTATGTTGCCTCTGCAGCGCGCTGATGTCTGCGCTCATCTCGATGCCTCGCTTTGAAGCTTCAGGCGCTGCGAGGGCAGCATTGATGTCTTCAGACTCTCTGCACATCCGTCGCAGCTCTTCTCGTCGACCTGTTGCAATGGCCATTAGAGCCTGCGCTTCAGCCTCCGGGAGCGCACGAAGGCTTTGCTGCTCTTTGACCTGCTGAAGCTGTATCTCCATGTCGTTGAGTTTCGCCTCGTTGGCCTCACATAAGGCTCGCTGCCTAGTGAGGGCCGTGTGGAGCTCCTGTTGCAGGCCTGACCGGATTTTCTCCGAGTCCTCAGCTCCTCTGTTCGGGCTGGGCTGCGGATGCAGGGATGCTGCATTGCGCAGACGCTCCAGCTTTTTCTCGAAGCTTAACTTCTGCTCCAGCAGATCCGCGTTTGCAGCCTGAGTAACAATTCAACTGCACGTGGTGTGAACTGATGGTCCTGGAGTCTGGTATCTGAAATGGTCTCAAGCCTCTAGCACCTTTGCAGCGACTAAGTGGGCGGCGCGAGCTCGGTCGAGAAGCATGTGGTGCTTCATAGGTGCTGCTGGACAGCCTCCACCTCTCGCCCTCGCCAGCTTCTGAAGTTCAGCGTTTTGGAGCTCCAAAGAAATGGCTTGGCGTCGGGCCAAGGGCAGCTGGAACTGGAAGCTTGGGCTGGGCCCTTGCGACTCTAAAGAGTCATTCAGCATCCGCAGCTCCACTGCCAGCACCCAGGTGCCAGTGACTGCCATGCGTATCGTGTGGGAAGCGCCACCGGGCTGCATGCCCAAAGACTCCAAGTGTGAAACTGAAAGTGGAAGTCTTACTTGCCCAAGCTCAGACTTAGAGCCTTCCAAAATGGAACAAATGGAGACGCACACATCTGCTGATTCCTCTGAAAGTCTCAGTGTGAAAGTCTCACCCCATTTCGGGTGCAACGTGTCATCACCTGCGCGGACCTCTGGAACCAAACGTGTCGTCTGTGCGGGCGGCAGGCTGGGCAGCGAGAGCCTGATCTCGAGCATCTTGGCCAACGGCGCATTGCCCATGGCAGAAGCACTCCAAGCACTCGCTGAAACACTCGGTTTTCCACTGCACACGGCTTACCCAAGCTGGCAAAGGAAAAACCATGACTGAGAGCCCAAGCACGCTGCAAAGATGAAACCAAATCTACGGCTTACTGCGTTAATCCAGCTGAAATGACGCTGAGCTCAAGACAAGACACACAGGTGCAGCTGGGTCAACGACGTACTTCCCGGTGCAACACGGTGTTGGCTGTGCACAGCCTTGAGTATCATCGAAGTAGCCTGGCAAGCACTCGTTGCAGAAGCTCAGCATATGGGGTCCACATAGTTGAGCATGACCATGGCAAAGGACGATGAGTTCAGCAAACTAAATACCTGCCAAGATGCCATAGTCAGCACAGTAACACAGGCGTGTCTTCACGCTACCTCAGGTGTGCAACCGCATCTGCCGACATCTCTTACGGTGAGAACAATGCTACACATCTGGGCGATTGCCCATGCTGATTGCTGCGAGTCGCCCTCTGCAAAGCGCTGCACAAAATCACAGAGATGTTGTGATGTGCAGAACATGGTGAGGGTCTGGTCTTGGAGCAGTGAGCGATGCACTGACAGCCTTGTCTGTGACAATGCCCCAACAACTCAAAAGAACATGGAGCAACGCAGCAAACAATACAGCCATCGGTTGTTTCCTGGGCAAACGTGAAGAAGCGAGCTATAGTTAGGGGCAAACGATTCTTTGCGCCGAGGCTCGATGAAGCCTCTACTTCCATACCCCAGGGTCCGAATGGAAGGTTGTAATCATGGCCCATTGCCTTGGAAAAATGGCGCGATCCATTGCTGCTTCCACGCAAGTCCGCAGAGTTCTGCCGGAATGTGAGAAGAAAGGCAAAGAAATAGCTTTGCGTGCGTACTGCCATTTTGTCAGCCTCCTAAAGCCCTCTCTAGGTGCAGTAATACCCTCTGAGGTCCCGGGCCACATAGTGCTTTGCGCTGATGTTCCTGTTCAAGGAATTTGTCCAGCTGAAACAGTGAATGACGCGAGCTCTGACTTCCTGACCTCAGCAGCTCCAGGCTGCTTCGCCTGGCTTGGATGGAGACGGCCACATCCACCACAAGGTCCCCAGCGATCGCACCTTAGCTGTGCAAGGGCACAATGCACACTTCGATCACACCTCTTTTTCCCCAAGCTGCCCATTAGCTGGCCCAAAGAACCACGCCAGGCAGTCACCTGAGAGCAGAGAATTCCCGTCAGCTTACCACTCAAGTCTTCACTGTTCAGACACCCTGTTCACAAGTAGCGGATGGAACTCTGGTGAACAATGGTGTCTCATGGTGTCTCCCGGTCAAGGGATTTATGCTGCTGGTAGCTGGGTCTCAGACCGCCTTCCCACCACGCAACCTCACAGTACAGCGTTGCGGCCCTTCATCAGGCAGCGCCGAAGTGCTGGTAGTGTCACTGTTCTTCCAATCCTGCCACAGCCCAGCAACATATGATAAGCTTGCACACCCAGCAACTGAGAGCACATCCTCCTTGAACATTCCAACATGCTAGATTGAAGTCACCATGTCTTTGCACACCGCGCTACACTTTACACAGCTCCGGAACTCATGTATGCTTACTTGGGAGAAAATTGGAACAGGGGTTGGGGAGGTGTTTTCGAGTCTCTGATGATCATTCGGCAGTCTCGTCTAGTTGTGGGTCCTGCACTAACCCTGGTGTACTTCGCTGTAAATTACGCAGAAACATGAAGATATTTAGGCAACCGATGATGACCATGGATTCTCGAGCACATTACCAAGCATTGTTGCATAGTTGGCTTAAGTATCCGCATATATATATATATAGGCTGGTAAGCACGCTGTTCATGTCCTCCCTTCTCGTAATGCTATTTCTATCCTGCAATTGTGTGGAAGATGTTCAAACTGCCAACGAATATGCAATGCAAAGACCACCCTCGCATCAACCAAAAAAGGCACAGTAGTCTGAGTAGTACTGACACAGAAGAACGATAGTGACTATCGCAAGCAGTAACAACAACGACGATGACAGCAGCAAGAGAGAACCAGATCCAGACAATCCGAGAAGCAACCAGAAAACAGGTAAACAACAGATAGTCTTCCAGTAACGCTCTGATACTCTGGACGCCTGATGCAGGCTGAGAAGCATAAATCAGCAGCGTGGTCAGCAGAAGGCCTTCTGTGGACATGATGTCGCGCAAAAGCGCCTGCGCCAATGAAGTAAACGCAAAGTGTGATATTGACCTCATTTGGGGAAAGAGATAGTGGACCTCTCTTCTCATTTTAAGGGGCTTGTTCTTCTGCGAAAAGAGGTGGAGGGTGGTTATCGTTATTTGTACACACATACCTTCTGGATCCACATTCTCATGGTTCCAAATATCGATTGCTGAAAGCTAAGCTCCTGCAAAGCGGATACTTTCTTGAACGGTATGTCATTTTGACACACGCGCTCCGCGCACTGAAAGCCACCAACGAGGCTGCTGGGTAGCTCTGCCGGCTGATCAGCCACGCTTCATACAAGAAACCAGTGACTCGTGGGAGTGACTCCATACGGCAGCACTTTCAAGGATTGTGATCAAGCTTCGTAATGAGATTCATGAAGGGCAGCAAGGTACGGCGTCGCGGCATTCTCGGAATGCAGGCATTGAAGACGTGCGAAATCTTTCAAGAAAACGCCATGAAGTGTAAAAGGGCGGAAGATTAGAATCCTGCAGCTACTTACTATGTTCTTCCACTTTGCCCTGAACTCTCGAACTTTCATGGCGCTCCCGAACTTGCACGGCGCACAAATAAAACATGACCTCGCTGCTGAGTACTGAGTTGTCCCTTCAAAATGGTTGCCGCAACAGAGTGCTCTTCACGCACTATCAGCTTGAACACCAGCCCTTAATGCTTGAACATAAGAAATTGGAATCTCTTACTAGATCTGCCAGGAATCCCCGCAGAGTCCCGAAAGCAATAAAACCCACGCTAGATGTGTGTACCTCTCCCCTTCTTGTGATTATGTCCTTCGTCTTCTTCTGCTTCTCTCGCTTCTTCTCTCTCCTTTTGCTTCTGGACTATTGCCCAAGTAGGGTCCTTCCATCATTCTTGCATAGCCTTCTGAAATCTTCAACACGCACATCACACTGCAAGCACAGCATGAGATCCCGGAGTCCCAGAAGCAAGCGTTCATGGATGCAATGTAAACACTTAGCATCACTTAGCCAATGCAGCAAGAATAGCCAGCATCCCGCAATGAATTCCATACAAGCCATGAGCGCGTGTGACACAACCCTGAAATCCTATGGTCATCACTTAAGCGCCATGATCCAGAAATCAACGCCCACATCTCCCTGAATATCCAAAACGATCTGGGTCTGATGCTGGCGCACTGCCGATATACCAGGCTGCCGACATATCAGGCAATCCCTGTAGAACATTCTGCAGTAAGCAGCAATCCATGTCCAGCCCAACATGCTGAAAACCGAGAAACTATGAACCAAGATGTGCGGGAGTGTTGGTTTGCAGGCCCCAAGGCTCATGCTCACTTTGCGCCAAGACATCTGGACCCTTCAGACTTTCAAGAGCGTTTAAAGCTCAAACTAAGAACCAAGAGCCACGAGCCCTGGTCATAATGGTTCTTGGCTTCTGGACCTCTGAGGTTCGAAATTGAAATTCGGATTTCTCAGCATCCATACTCTTTAGAAGGCATCTTCATTCGTGATGCAGATGCCTGATGGACTCGTCTTCTGCTTCATGGTCATGAGGACTCCCAAGGAAATGAGACTGGGGGCCAGCTCCATGGTTGCTACTTGAGGCACCAAATTTTTTGACTGGAAAAAGATTCCATGTCACAAATGTCATTTTGGGGTTCCAAATGAGCTCATGATGTGGGAGAGCATTTGCATGATCTTGCTATTACAAGTGGAAGACTGTAATGGGCATGGTTTTGCAATGTTTGGCAGTTCTGCATTTGCCCTGGAATACTCACACTCGAAAGCGCACTCCGTGTGAAGTTTCTGCAGAGCCACAAATCAGCCTTGTCCTCTGTGTCTTCGAGAATGTGCTTCGTACTACTTACTTCAGACAGGTCGTGAGCCAGGGGGCACCTGAGCGGCATAACGACGGCCGTTGCCGGTGGTGGACACCATGCCGACATCCTTGGGTGCAGCTGGGGCCTTTACTTGGCACAACTGCCACAGTCCACGGCTGCCATCAACTCTGACTTCAATTGAGCTGCAAAAAGAGTTGTTTCATCAAACTCGTCCTGGGCATTCATGCATAGTCAAGCGGGCCTAACAGGCAGCAGCACAACTTGAGCATCACCGTAACGCGGTCCTGAGTTGCGAGGACGGCAACTCTCAGCTTAGAAGCATCCTTCCGGGCAGGCAGTGGTTCTTGCAACGTTGTCTTTCGGGCCTTGCTGTGGTCAGGATGCATGACTGGCTCCTTGGCTCCATCTGCTGGAGCCTCAATAATTGAATTGGCTGACGGCCTTGCGCAAGGGTGTCACAAGGGTTGACTCATCATACCTCACCTGGAACTGAAACAGTGCACCATGTGCACCTCAACAGAAGGTCGGCACCAGGTTGCGGAATTGCAGCGGCCAGCAGCTGGCTTCCTTCGCCGGGTGGTCTCAAATAGAGGATGCCTTGGGCAGTTTGGGCAGTTTGGGCAGGGCAGCAAACACGCGAACTCCAGCAGCTTCAAGGGCGCCGCACCTCCAAACATGACGATTCCAGCAAGGCCCTTCTTCTCACAGAATGCCTGCACAGCTTCAAGGAACACAGGGCCAGGCGGCCCTGCTTGCACGGGCCACACTGCCCTACACCAAGCTCCTGCCCACCCTTTTCACGTCTTTCTACGGAATTCTACCGCCCCCGCGCTTTCTCTTCCCCCCTTCCCTGCGCAGTGCTCCACGGATGGTGATGACTTCACCTTCTTAACATATTTTGTCCTCGGATCGCTGCATCTCTGCCCCAGTGGCCTTGGCCTCTGGTAATCTAGACACCGCCGCTGGTTTC